TGTCCAACTGTCTCTAACAAGAGCGCCCAGCAGAAAGGCCTGTATTCTTGTCATCTGTGCTCTTGGAACAAGCTCAGAGACTGTTGGAGGGAATGGGGCCAGTAAATCAGACATATTTACATGCGTGTTCCTCAATGCACAAGTACGTGCCTGTGTGTGCGCACACACATGGGAAAATGCATAGACAAAGCACACAGGAGTATACATGTGAATGAATGCACGCTGCACACGTGCTGTGGACATGGCTATGTCTCTAAGGCGTGCATGAACGAGCCTGTGTGCACGCAGGTCCCCATGGAGACTTAGGCAATGGTGTGCTGGAAAAGTTCTAATGACTAGCTCTCCATTGAAAAATATCCCTAGCCTGTAATCCCAGCTACTCAGGAGGCCAAGATCTGAGGATCATGGTTCGAAGCCAGAGTAGGCAGGAAAGTATGCGAGTCATCTCCAAAAAGCCAGAAGTGGTATGACTCTAGTGATAGACCTGCCTTGAGTGAAAAAGCTAAGAGACAGTGCCCAAGACCTGAGTTCAGGCCTCAGGATGGGTACACACACACACACACAATTTGTCCATTTCTGTGGTGTGAGCCCTCCACCATGGCTGCCCCAGCTGCCAAGGCATGGCCACCGAACCACACGAGTCCTGTGGTTGTCCCACAGGAGATAATCTGTAGGAGCTGGCCAGCACACCTGGGGACTGGGAGGTGTGTGTGTGTGTGTGTGTGTGTGTGTGTGTGTGTGTGTGTGTGTGTGTGTGTGTGTGTGTGTGACAGTAAGTAGCTCATGGCTAAGCTCCTGCTGTGGCCAGCTTAGGAGGAGTCTGCAGGCTAGCTGGGGATGCTTCTTTGCAGAGCTGGTACATCAGTGAAGCAGAAGGTGATTGGCCACAGGCCAGCTCTCTCCATCTCCCTTGGAAGCCTGTCCAAGCTGATGCTCCTTGTTAGGCCAGATGAGACACTCCCTGAGACAGCGCCTACCCTCACCCTTACAGATCAATGCTCAGGAGGGCCAGAGAGGTGGGGGGAGGCAGAGGAGGAAGAGGAGGGAGCAGGGAGTTAAGCAGAGGAGAGGAAGAGCTGGACAGGCTGGGGCTCTGAGCTTTCCCAAAGACATTTCTCTGGTCCCATCATAGCCTCCAGCTAGAGTTTTCTTCTATAAAGGACAGGTCTTCTGGACTCACAACTTTTTATCTGTCCCTCTGGAGTCAGAGACTTGGGCTCTGAATATTGGGATCTCCATTCAAAAGCCAGAGAAAGAGGGAGAGAGAGAGAGAGAGAGAGAGACAGACAGAGAGAGAGATAGATAGAGAGAGAGAGAGGCAGACAGACAGATAGGCAGGCAGGCAGGCAGACAGACACAGAATTGCTTCAAATGGGATGCTGGGAGTTGCAAAAAGCAATTAAAGAAATCCATTGAAATGAGGACCAAGCTATACAAAAAAAATCTTTATTTCATGTACCAGGATTGTTTTCTGTTTGTTTGTTTTTCAGGTTTCTGCTTTTTAAAATTTTTTTTCTGTTAACAGTCTGAAAAAAAAAAAAAAGACCCACCAAGAAAATAAAATGGAAGTTGTTTCCTTGAACTGCTTGGAGCCGAATACAAGCCGTCACCCACCATAGGAAACCGTGCCCTGGGGGGTCTCTATGGGTCCCTTTCCTCCCAGCCCCCTAGCCCTTTCTGCCACCCCATGTACCAGAGGCCTTCTTGAGGTAGCCCCTGGCCCAGGCCTCACAACCTGGGAAGATGGGCGCTCGCTGCGCAGACACGGCCCGTGTTCAGGGGATTGAGCTGCTTTCTGGGCAGTCAGGGCACTTGCTTGCTAGCGTTCCTTGCTTCTCTTTTTCTCCCTAGGTTTTTGATGGTTAGGTGTAGAAGCGAGTGGGAAAGGGATAACATTTGGGCGGGGAGGGATAGATTGCCATTTCTGCCCAGTCCAAGAGAAACTCAGTAGCCACCACACTTAATTGACCCCTGTGCCCTGGGGCCTCAGGCCCTCCCCTGCCCTCTGGCCCAGGCTGGTGCTGTCTTGTGCTGGGGCTGTCGTGGGGCTCCAGCTTCTGCTGACCTTAGTGAATGAACTTTCCTCTTGACAAAAGACAGGCAGGACAGTGGGGAGTGGGCCTTGTGAATGTGTCTCTTCAACTTGGCCTGGACCTCAGGACCCTCCAGGCAGGTGGGTGCCCAGAGAGCAATAACACAGAAAGGCTGGGGTGCACCCAGCTTGGGCCTCACCATCATAGGACTGGCTCTAAGGCTGGTTGAAAAGTTCTGGCTTGGGAAAGCGGTTGGATTGTATTGTCTGAACTGGCCCTTGTCACTCTGGCAAAGGAAGGGGAGAAACCAGGGGTGTCCCTCCATACTAGTCTGGGGTGCAATTTTAACTGCAAAGTGGGCTCCCCTCTGGGGACCCACTCTGCGAAAACTCTCTCCACTCCACGAAGGGCATCCTTCACTCCTCCCAGCAAACCTTAGAGGGACCTCTTTCTCACTGATCCCAAAGACAGCGGGGAACCCTGGTGGCTGACCTCTTTGCTAAAGGAAGTTGCTTCCAAGGTCTGTGATGGGCTTATAGCATTTAAGAGAGGACACAACATGCAGAGCGGCTCAGGGAACTCCTGTGTCCTCTCCTTCTGCGGAGTGGCAGGATACAGTGGCTCGTGTGTGTTTTTGCTTTGACACTGAATGTAGGGCAGGGGCTGGGGAGCACAGTGAGGAGGCATGTGGGGTGTGTGAATGTGTGTGTGTATGAGAGAGAGAGGAGAGGAGAGGAAAAGAGAAGAGAGAAAGAAGAGGAGAGAAGAGAGGAGGGGAGGGGAGGCGAAGAGAGGAAAAGAGAGGAGAGGAGAGAAAGAAGGGAAGAAGTGAAGAGGAGAAGAGAAGAAGAGAAGAGGAGAGAAGAGAAGAGAAAAGAGAAGAGAAGAGAAGAAATTGCTGGCTTGGGAAATGTTCTCAATGTCATTGAAATTATTGGCAGCTGTTTTGGTCATCCCAGGCATCTTCTTCCAGGCAAGTGGCAGATCTTAAAAGTCATAGAAACACAAGAAGGGGCCTTTGGAGCCTGTCTGGGTCTGTCCACATGCTTACACAGAGAGAAGCTTATACAGAAAGGCCACATGGCAAGAAAGTCTAGAATCCAGACCCAGATTCTAGCTGGTGCCCTTCCATACATGTGACTGGTGCACGTGCGTGCGTTGGCATGGTGTAGTGGCAGGCACAGGGGGCATCGTGTGGAATATTGTCATCCATGGCTTTGCAGGGTGCAGACCAGACCAGTTCCTCAGAGCCACACCCCTGGTTGCGTGAGGGGTGACAGCAAGCCATGAGCACTGGGCTTAGAGGACTGTGGATGTGTGTGTGTGTGTGTGTGTGTGTGTGTGTGTGTGTGTGTGTGTGTGAGATGGGGACCAGGAGTGGGGTGTGGGGTCTCCTCTTTCCACAGCAGTGCCTTCCTGCTAGCAGGAACCCCCCTGGAGCTCTTGGGGCCTTTTTCCTGTCCCTCCAGCTCTACACCCAGCTCCCGTCTCTCACAATGGTTTTCAAAAATGGATTTATATATTTGTTTTCTGTTTTTGTCTTTACAAGTTCCCTGCTAAATTTTAAGTCCCCCACCCCACCCCGTTTTTTTGTTTGTTTTCACAGTTTAAAGCTGGAAAAGAATTAAAAGAAAAATACTATCTGATTTTCTTGCAAGTAAATCCACTTATATATTTACATTTATTTATAGTCTGTGGTTTTTTTATTAAAAAAAATCACCACTTGTTTTTCCTTTTTTTTCTTTTGTAAAAAGAAACCTTTTTGCAATGTCATTGTTGGACCTGCTGGGTCCCCAAAGGGGGCATCAGTGAGTCCAAGGACCCCCCCCACCCAAAGGCTCAAAGAGCCCCTTCCCACGAGGCTGGGAGCCTATGAGTCTGAGGGGGGGGTCCATCATCGCCCCAAGGTCATCAGTGCCTTGAGGTGAGGGGTGAGGAGGGAGAGCTGCTTTATATCCCCTGGGGGCTGGGCATCCCCTAACCCGAAGAACAGGAGTTTGGGGGATAGTGACCCCATAAGGCTCCCTCTGAGCATTCCAGGGGAAGCCCCTTCTTCCCCCTCCCTTCTAGCAGTCTTCCCTCCCCCTTCCCTTCCCTCAAGGCTTAGGAAGTCATCACAGTGGGCTAAGGAATGGGAACCTGGGGCTGAGCAGCCCCAAGCCCACCTCACCTCTAGGCACCTAACGGACAGGGGGGGGGTCCAAGGGCTCAGGTCACCTGGAGGCCAATTGCCCATTGGTGCTGGGCGGAGCAGGCTCTGGAGCCAATCAACTTCCCCGGGAGTTCCAGGCCTGCCAGTGACCACGCCCCCTGGCCCTGAGTCTCCACCCCCTACTCGCCCAGGGAGGCGGGGCCTTCTGGGGCTAAAGGGAACAGGTTACTTTTTCATTTTAAAACTTTCCCCGTGTTGAAATAAAAAAAGGAACATAAAAACCCGAATGAATAATAAGGACATCCCTCTTCCTCTCCATCCTCACTACTTTATGTGTTATGTTATTTGTTATTATTATTTTTTGCTTTACTGTTATCTTGGTTCCCTTTTATTTTTTTTCTCACTTAAATTGGTTTTTTTTTTATTAAATGTTAAAATAATGGTACATGGGAAGTCATGCATTTTCTTTGAGATTTATTTTCTATTTAATCTTTTGTTTTTAAATCCCTCTCGCTTTAAGTGTGTGTTTAGTTTTCTCGCGTGGCCTGTGGCTTGCTTTGTTCCTCTTCTATTTTTTTGTTAATTTACTTGTTATGTTTTTCTCTTTTTTTGTTGTTTTTTTTCTGTTTTTTTTGTTTGTTGTTGTTGGTTTTTTATGTCGTTTTCTGTGTTGTTTTTTTTTTTTTGCGTGTGGAAGGTCTCCCGTGGGTGGATTTCCCCCTTCCCCTCTGCCTGGACCCTGCGCCTCCCGGTCCGGTCCTCCCCGCTCCGGCCCTCCCTCCCCCAGGCGGGCAGCCCCACCCCGGCCGAGGTCTTCAGACGGGTGTGGTCCTGCGGTTGGCTGTGTTGGAATGTAGCGAGTCCTTGCTCTCCTTGGGGATACAGTTGTGGACTTGGAGGAAGCTGTTGTCCCTGTCCGAGTTGTAGGTGGCGGTGGGCGTGGTGGCGGCCTTCAGCGGGTCCCTGCTGAGCGTGTACATGGAGATCTCGGTGGACGGCAGGGTGTTGAAGCCCTTGATGCCCACGGGCGAGGCGTCCCTGGAGTGGGAGGGCTCGGTGGAGCGCGAGCTGGAGCGGCTGCGGCGCTGGTAGCGGTAGCGGTAGCTGGGGATGCGGGTGATGGCCGAGGCCTGGAGGTAGTCCGTGGCGCGGGCCGTGGCCCGCAGCTGTTTGTGGCGGTCGATAAACATGTGCACCGCCAGCACCCCGACCATCTCGGCGATGATGAAGGACAGGGCCCCGAAGTAGAAGGACCAGCCGTACGAGTAGCTGTTCTTTTTGGAGTCGCTCTTGGAGGGGTCCCCGGCATTGGCAGATATGTACACTATGATGCCAATGATGTTACTCAGACCTGGGCACGGGGCAGGGCGGGCGGCAGAGACAAGGCCGTTAGTTCTGGGGTGGGCGTGGGGTGGGGGTGAGGCCGCTGCCCCCCCCTGCCCCCCTCCTGGCCTAGGTTTTCACGGTCAGAGCATCTGTCCACCAGGGATACTGCAAACGTCATCTTTTCCGTTTTTCTTTTTGTGCCCAGACTGGGACTTGAACTCGGGGCCTGGGTGCTGAGCGTTTTGACCCAAGGCTGGCGCTCTACCATTTGAGCCACAGCTCCACTTCTGGATTTTTTTTTTTTTTTTTTTAGTGGTTAATTGGAGATAAGAGTCTCACTGACTTTCCTGCCTGAACTGGCTTCAAATCAACATCCTCAGATCTCAGCCTCCCTAGTAGCTAGGATTACTGGTGTGCCCGGCTCTACTTCGTAGTTTAAGTCATTCAGAGAGCGCTAGGATGGGAAAGGCTGGTAGACAGAGAGGAGGAGGCCAACATTTCACACACAATCAGCTGAGTAGCAATAATACTTACAATAAGAATTGAAATTGCTTACTGAGTGCTTTACAAGCAACTTGCAGACCAGGAGACAGAAGATCACAGAGGTTTCTCTCCGTGTACTTCCGTCTCCTGGAAGGAGCTGTGCTGAAGGCAGCACAGATTTGCAAGCAGGTCTACCTTGGTTAGGCATGGCTCCTGGAGAAAGATGGCCTGGGTTCAAAGACTAAGCCTTTACCTGAGTCTCCTGCTCTGCAAACAGTCGCCTTAATCGAGAGGACTGGTTCTAGAGATGAGGAAAGGATGGGAATCTGACTTGAGAATGTTCCGAGAATCCCTCTGCATATGGGAAGTGCTCCGAGTTGTTAGTTTTATCCAGTGGCTCAAGTACAATCCCTGTTCCTTTCTGGGCATCTGAAACCAGTGTATCTCATCATATAATCCAGCTCAGAAAGCTGGTTGTGGGGGCCTGGCTGCAATAGTGGGAGTGAGGGAGGAGGAGAGTCTTCTTTGGGCTTAGCTGGGCATCAGGTAGGGGCTCAAGGAATGATGGGGAGCCAGATACTGGTGGCTCACGCGTGTAATCCTAGCTACTCAGGAGGCTGAGATCTAAGGATTGTGGTTCAAAGCCAGCCCAGGCAGGCAAGTCCATGAGACTCTTATCTCCAATGAACTACCAGAAAACTGGAAGTGGCACTGTGGCTCAAAGTGGTAGAGCACTAGCCTTGAGTGAAAAGGGTCAACACTCAAGCCCCAAATTCAAGCCCCAAGACCCACAACAATAACAAAAGAAAAAAAAAGAAGAAAAGATAAAAAGAAAAAAGAAAAGAAATGATGGGTCCCCTTGGTTGCCCCCACTCTGTCTGCTGGATTTGCACGGGCAGAGCATGGAGGATCAGGCCTGGTATTTCCAAGTGGTGGGGAAGATGGTCCAATGGGCAGCTGGGGGGGGGGGGGCTGAGGTTCCCGGGGGACTCAGTGAGGGCTCTATAGAGCCTTCCCTTGAGACAGCCCAGGACCAGAGATGTCCCTCACCCCAGGTCCCCCAGGCCTCCTAGCCCTGCACTTGGGGGCTTCCCTTACCCCTCTGCTGGCCCGCCCACCCGGTGCGCTCACCTGCGGACACGAAGAAGATGCCGGCACTCAGGATGATGTTGTGCCGAGTCTTGTAGAACTCGCTGGCTGCAATGCAGAGCCCACCCATGAAAAGCAGAATCACGCTGAGGATTGGGAAGATGCTCGAGGCTCTCACGGCCCCTGCAGGACACCGAGGGCCAGGGAGGGAGAGAAAGAAGTGACCGTGAGGCTGTGGGATGGGGGGTAAGGGGAAGGGAATGGACCACAGCAGTCAGGCCTTCCAGGACATAGCCTAGGTCCGGGTTGCTTAGCAACAGGAGAGAGGGCGGGAGGGAGGGCCACTTTCCTTCAAGAGCTTTCCTCTATCTTCAGGACCAATCTCCAGCCCTTTGTCAGGCACACAGAGGCCCCTGTGGGGACTCCTGCATCCCAGTGGCCATGTTCTTTCTTGCTTAGCAGAGCAAACTGCCCATGGCTCTGTTTTCATGCTTACTTAATGGAAATGTCTTTTTCTGTTCCCTCAGCAAGCTTCTATTCATGCATCAAAACCCAATTCAAAGTCTTCCCTGATTTCCTCATGCAAAGCTGTTAGCTAAACTTTCTCTTATGCCTTGGAGAGCACTGGCACAGGGAGAGGGTGGCTCGGCAGCTAATGGATCTACATGGCTTGAATTGGAATCTGGCTGTAGCATTTATTAGTATATACATTTAGGGAAGTTATCATGTCTCTGTGTGCCTCAGTTTCCTTACCTGTAAAACAGAGGTGACAATAGTATTTGCCTCCTAAGTTTGCTGTGAGGATTAAGTGAGCTGAGAAAATAATTCATTTATAAAAAGTACTGGGGGGCTGGGAAGGTGGCTCAGTGGTAGAGCGCTTGCCTTGCATGCCTGAGGCCCTGGGTTCGATTCCTCAGCACCACATAAGCAAAAAGAAAAAAGGCGGAAGTGGTGCTGTGGCTCAAATGGTAGAGCGCTAGCCTTGAGCTGAAGAGCTGAGGGACAGCGCCCAGGCCCAGAGTTCAGGCCCCATGACCGGACCCCCAAAAAAAGGTACTGGGAGCTAGGTACCAAATAGCTCACATTTGTAATCCTAGCTACTCAGGAGGCTGAGAGCTGAAGATCATGATTCAAAGCTAGCCAGGACAGGACAGTCCGTAAGACTCTTATCTCCAATGAACTACTCAGAAAAAGCCAGAAGTTGAACTGTGGCACAGTGATAAAGTGCTAGCCTTGAACAAAAAGAGCTCAGGAATAATGTCTAGACCCTGACTTCAAGCCCCAGGATTGGCACAAATAAGCCCAACAACCCAAAAAAGGTACTGGGGCAAGAAATAGTAATTACTGATACCATAGGGACCTTTCGGCCAATGCCAGGGATTGGTTGTTTGGGGATGTGTTTTGGGGTGAGTGTAACAGGAGTAGCTTCCTCCACTTCCGGTCCCTTTGAGTGGCCACATAGCCACGAGGTTCTGTCTAGACTTGTTGCTGTTGTTGTTGTTGTTCTGGGGCTTGGCTCTGGAACTTGAACTCTAGGATTTGTATCCTCACTTGGCTTGTTTGCACAGGGCTGGCGCTCTACCACTTCAGTCATGCCTCCAGCCTGATTTTTTATATGGATTTTTCCTCCCTGGGCTGACTACAAACCATGATCTTCCCAGTCTCTGCTTGTTGAGTAGCTAGAGTTAAAAGTATGGGCTCACACCTGTGATCCTAGCTACTCAGGAGGCTGAGATCTGAGGATTATCTTATCTCCAATTAACCACTAGAAAACCAGAAGTGGCACTGTGGCTCAAGCGGTAGAGCACTTGCTTTGAGCTGAAGAGCTGAGGGACAGCACCCAGGCCCAGAGTTCAAGCCCCATGACCGACAAAAAAAAAAAAAAAGTATGGGCTGCTTTTGCCTAGTGACTAGACTTTTCTAAGAGGGTTCACTGCAATGTGTGACATGAGAAACCCTTACTTGCCCCTCATCTGCAGCAAGGTCTAGCTGCTCACTGATGCTGTGGAAGAGAGGAGACCTGGTGTTTGCGGTTGGGGCAGGGTGGAGCTGTGCACTCAGGCTGGCTGCCTGGGCCAGAGGCTGAGGGCAAAGCAGTTGGCTTACCCAGCAGCCTTAGCACCAGAGGGCTGGACCCTGGTAGGGGGGTTCTCTTCCTGCAAATCACCTCTCAGACAGTGGAAAGTATCTGCTCCCAACTCGCTCTCCAGCCTAGGCACGGCCACCCACACCCCCCATGACACATGGCAACTTGCAGCTATCTATTCCTCATCTTTACAGGCACACAGGGGTGATAAGACCTTGAAAGATGACAGTGCACTCTTGGTATCTGCAGGTGCATGGCTCCCAGCAGACTGTCATTGAGGAAAACCTGCGCATGCTCAGGCCAGAGCTCAGTACACTAAAGTTCTGTGTGTATAGTAGGTATGAGCATTCAAACTTGAAAGAGCATGGAGCCGGCTACGTTACTGTCACAAAAATGGCAGTTGTGTACTTTAATTCTACTCACCAAAGACTAGATCTTATTTCATGCTCTTTGTCTCAGCACTGAAAATGCTTCATTCATTCCCCCACCCCCCACCATGCCACCCGACTTCTCTTAAAAACAAGCCGCCTGTCAACAAGTCTGTAATTTTCACTTGAGTGCTTCAATTAAGCACATTACATGCCCTTTTTGGCTCAAGAGGATGACTGTAAGGTTCACCTTGCTCGTTGGGAGGCAGATTTTCACACAATCAAGGGCAGGAAAACACTCAGCGGATCACATAATGATTTAAACACAACAGATGATAACAGAGAGCTTCTCCCCATTCTCTGTCAAAACCATGTGCAGGACTGGGAATGTGGCTTAGTGGTAGAGTACTAGCCTTGAGCAAAAAGAAGCTTAGGAACAGTGCCCAGGCCCTGAGTTCAAGACCCAGGACTGGCCAACAAAAGCAAAAACAAAACCACGTGTAGCTGGGTGCTAGTGGTTCATGCCTATAATCCTAGCTACTCAGGAGGCTGAGATCTGAGGATCATGGTTCAAAGCCAGCCCAGGTGGAAAAGTTCATGAGACTCTCATCTCCAATCCAGAAGTGGTCTTGTGGTTCACATGGTAGATCACCAACCTTGAGTGTAAAAAGCTAAGGGATAGCATCTAGGTCCTGAGTGCAAGCACTGGTACTGGTGTACACACACACACACACACACACACACATACACACACACACTCAAAAACCATGCATAACAAATGTAAGGTGGACTTAATGTACCTATCCAGATACAAGCTGTGGGGGTGCTAGGTGGTGTAGCCAAGGCCTGTGAAACTGAATGGGGAACAAGAAGTGTGTGTGTGTGTGTGTGTGTGTGTGAGAGAGAGAGAGAGAGAGACAGACAGACAGACAGACAGACAGTCAGACAGACAGACAGATAGAGGGATAAAGAAGGAGGAAGAGTAGCCAGGCGCTGGTGGCTCACGCCTGTAATCCTAGCTACTCAGGAGGCTGAGATCTGAGGATCCCGGTTCAAAGCCCGCCCGGGCAAGAGAGACCGTGAGACTCCTATCTCCATTAAACCATCAGAAAACTGGAAGTGGCGCTGTAGCTTAAGTGGTAGAGCGCTCGCCTTGAGCTGAAGAGCTGAGGGACAGCGCCCAGGCCCAGAGTTCAAGCCCCACGACCGACAAAAAAAAAAAAAAAGGAGGAGGAAGAGGAAGTAAAAGGAAAAGGAGGAGAAGGAGGAGTACTTTTGTCCCATTGCAGACCCTGAACTGGCTGTTTGTTCTCTATGCCTCCAGGCTGTCTGGAAGTCCTCCTGCTGCCCAGTCCTCTCACGTATCTCTCTGGCTGTTCATGGCCTGGCAGCCTTTGACATTGTGCTTGTTGTCCCTTAGCCTAAAAAGCCCCTCCTGGGGGTTTGTGCAGCCCCCACCACTCCCTCACCACTCCCTCCTTCATCTCAGCCTATTGTCACTTTGGCCATGAGCATCTGGCTGGTCTTTGTCTTTTGCACTCAGCACCCAGTTCCAGGAGGCAGCGCTAAGCAATGACAATGGCTAATGCGGCCTGAGTGCTTCCTGGGCTGCAGGCTGGAGCAGAGAACTGTCTTATTCCAATTCAGTCTCTCACCCGGGGGGTACTGGGGACCATTACTGAGGAAGCCTAGGACCAGGGTGGCTCAGGGGAGTGGGAAGCAGCAGGGCTGCAGCTCGGCCTGCTAGAGTACTCTTCTCTCCTGCCTCCTAATGGCCACGATCAGGACACTTATCTCCCAACACTCACCCTCCTGCACACTCTCCCTCACTGCCTTCTCATCTCCAGCAGGTGGTCTGGTGTGCATCTCCACCTGTCCCGTGGCTGGTGGCATCTGGCTTGGGAGAGCCTGATTCTTTGTCAGCTTGTTCTTGTCCTCAGGGGGTGTGTGTGTGTGTGTGTGTGTGTGTGTGTGTGTGTGTGTGTGTGTGTGTGTGTGTGTGTGTGTGTGTGTGTGTGTGTGTGTGTGTGTGTGTGTGTGTGTGTGTGTGTGTGTGTGGTCCGAGGCACCAGCCCCTCCCTTTCCCCACAGAAAGAAGTGTGGCTGAGACAGTAACCAGCTCTGGTCTTTACCCAGACCTCCAATTCCAAGTTGTTCCATCTCACACTGTAGTTCTGCACTGTGAGTGTCCCCAAGAATGTATTTCTAGGCCCTGTATACGGTATGTGTTTAATATATGACTATGGAAAAGAGCCAAATTGGTCTGATTCTCTTCCCTCAGGCTAAATCATACTGGGACATCTAAGGAATCCCAGCTCCTATCTCCTGGACACAAGAAACACACCACAAAGGGACCCACAGCACACAGGACTGTATCGAAATGCATATTTGGACAGAGACTCAGATGTGGGCTCACAGGCACCCAAGGACACAGAACACAGCACTGACATGGGACACACAGAGACAGAGGCACCAACATTCCCACAAGAGGGGTCCCTGACTACCCCCTCTATGCTTCACCTTTATCTTCAATCTTTGGTAGCCAAAGAAGAGGATAGGGACAGCCAATGGGTCCACTGCACTGGGTGAGACAGTGACCACCATTTGTTACTGGGGGAGCTGGCAGTAGGTGGGATGGGACCCACAGCACCACACCTTCACTGGATCTATGTACTGTAGGGCTAAAGTGGTAACAGGGATGCATGGGGCTCCTGGGCTCTGACTCAGGCTATTTTGATTTCTCAGACACTCTTAGGGCTGGAGAGAAAGAACTTTTATTTATCCATCTATCCAACAATCTACCCATCTACTCATCCACCCATCCACCCACCCACCCACCCACCCACCCATCCATCCATCCATCCATCCATCCATCCATCCATCCATCCATCCATCCATCCATCCATCCATCCTCCCACTTAATCATCTATCCACTCATCCAATCACCCATCCATCTATCTATCCACCTACCCACTCACCCATCCAACTATCCATCCACCCATCCATCCATCCATCCATCCTTCCATCCTTCCATCCATCCATCCATCCATCCATCCATCCATCCATCCATCCATCCATCCATCCATTCATCCATCCTCCCACTTAGTCATCTATCCACTCGTCCAATCACCCATCCATCTATCCATCCACCCACCCATCCAACTATCTATCCACCCATCCATCCATCCATCCATCCATCCACCCATCCACCCACCCACCCATCCATCCATCCATCCACCCATCCACCCACCCATCCATCCATCCATCCATCCATCCATCTATCCATCCATCCATCCATCCATCCACCCACCCACCCATCCATCTATCCTTCTGTCCATCCATCCATCCATCCATCCATCCATCCTCCCTCCCAATTAATCATCTATCCACTCATCCAATCACCCATCCATCTATCCACCCACCCACCCATCCACCCATCCAACTATCCATCCACCCATCCATCCATCCATCCATCCATCCATCCTCCCACTTAGTCATCTATCCACTCGTCCAATCACCCATCCATCCATCCATCCACCCACCCATCCACCCATCCAACTATCTATCCACCCATCCATCCATCCATCCATCCATCTACCCACTCATCCACCCACCCATCCATCCATCCATCCATCCATCCATCCATCCATCCATCCATCCATCCATCCATCCATCCATCCACCCACCCATCCTTCCATCCATCCATCCATCCATTCATCCATCCACCTACCCACCCACCCACCTATCCATCCATCCACTTATCTATCCATCTATCCATCCAGCCAGGTGTTGAGGACATTTTCCTTCTTCTAGGACCTTAAGAAACACAGGATGACATCTGAGGCTCAAGAATTGAGCCCCATTTTCTTGGCCGCTCTAGCCTATGAACACAGGTCTCCTGTCCAGACTTGCCCTCTGTCATCCTCTGCCCTCCCTCCTTTTCTTCACCTCTTGATGGTGAAACAAGACACAGGAGTCATCCCTGGATATCATATTCAGCCTCTTTCCTGGCCTCCTCAGCTTCTTGACCTTTGACCTTGGGTGTCCTGGGGCTCAGTGTCTGGGCCCCCTCTTTCTTCCCACACTGCTCCCTCAGTGGTCATCAACCCTCATGGCTTTAAGCTATCACTCACAGGCTGACAGTTCCAGAGCCCCTTCCTCTGCCCTGGCACCCCTCAGCCAGGCCTGCACGGAGTGCCAGACACATTCCAGCTCCTTCTGTAGGCATTTCTCACCCAGAATGGCCCACACGGAGCCTGGTCTCAACCTGCTGTCCTACTCAGGCACAAGCTTGGAATCATCCAGACCCCACCTTTTCCCAGGAACCTTCCAGACCACACTGTCCCTTGCGAGACTTTCTTAGCCCTTTATGCCGCTGCCCACCATCTCTTGTCTCGATCATGCCCACAGCAGGCTCCTGACTTCTCTACTCGCCCTCATCTGGTTTGGTCTCGTACAAACACAGCAACCAGAAGGTCCTGTCCGAAGGTGAGTCGGTGGCCCTCAATCTCAGCCACCCCCCCTCCAAGACCTTGCCACAGCCCACAGGGTTGCCAGGGCCTCTCTTCACTGTGGTTTGCCCACTCCATTCTTATGCCCTCAGTCCTGTGCCTCAAACGTTCCTGGCACGGACCTACACCAGGATCTTTGCATTTTCCAGTCCATCCTAGAACATTCATTCTGCAAATAGCCACGTGGCTACTTATTACTTTGAATCTTTGCTCAGACTTCTCAGTGAGGCCTTTCTTGATCCCATTCCTGATCTGGAATTTCCTGGCCCTTTTATGCTTGACTTTCCCCCTGTACTTGCCATAGTTTAACCACACACACACACACACACACACACACCCTGGTCTCTCTGTCTTTCTCGGTAAAATCTGGTACAAGGGTTTGAACTCAGAGCCGAGGTTCTGTCCCTTTTTTTTTTCTTCAAGGCTGGTGCTTTACCACTTGAGCCACAGCTCCACTTCTGCCTTCTTGGTAGTTAATTGGAGATAGGAGTCTCATGGACTTCATTGCCCAGGCTGGCTTCAAAATGTGATCCTCAGAGCTCAGCCTCCTGAGTAGCAAGGGTAACAGGTGCGAGCCACTTCACCCAGCCCGAATATATAATGAATTTGTTTATTTCACTTATTGCAGTTTTGTCCCTGAGTGCTGGTCTTTGGCTTTGTACCCCAGACTTTTACTTTATTGTTTGTTGTCTAGCTTTGGACTAGCCTATGAGAGACCCCGGTCAGCAGACACTGCCCTAGACAGACTGCTCCCTGCCTTTGGGAACAGACTTTGGGTGGGCACCTGTGCATCAATTGTGCCTGTGGCTGCTCATGTGCCCAGCTGCATCATGGGGCTATGTTGAGACCACGTGGCTTGAACTGCCTGAACGATTTACTTTCTCATCCTTTCTGGAAAAGTGTTTGCTGAGCCCTGTTAGAAATGCTCAAGAAATACTTCCAGTTCAACCAATGTGTGAACCTCCTTTCTGCCAATATGAACCCATGTCTTTGGGACAGGGGTGCTCAGATGAACCAAGACCCCAAACTCTGCTCTCTTTAACAAGAGGTGTAGTGTGGCAAGAATTGGCACCAAAGAAGCATCTGTTAAGCACCTGCTGGGTTCTGGGTGCTGTAATGAATAAGATAAATTTCCTGCCCCTAGGCCCTCCTTGTGAGCTCCAGAAAGCATATCAGATCATCACTGGGCTCAGCCAAGTGACATCTGGGCTCTAGAGGAGGGGCTCCCAATGCAGGGGTCATCTTGGCTCTCTCCTTTCCTACTCAACATCCTGGTCTAATTTTTTGTTTTGTTTTGTTTTTGTTAGTCGTGGGGGGTCCTGGGAGCTGTCCCTCAGCTCTTCAGCTCAAGGCGAGGGCTCTACCACTTGAGCCACAGCACCACTTCCAGTTCCCTGGAGGTTAATTGGAGATAACAGTCTCACCGACTTTCCTGCCTTGGCTGGCTTTGAACTGTGATCCTCAGATCTTAGCCTCCTGAATAGTAAGATTATAGGTGTGAGCCACTGGCGCCTGGCACCTGGCCTAATTTATGCCAGGACTTCCAATGCGGGGGCGGGGGGGGGCATCTTGGCTTGCTCCGTTCCCACTCAACATCTGGGTCTCTTTTTTTTTTTTTTTTTTTTGGTTGGTTGTGGGGCTTGAACTCTGGGCCTGAACACTGTCCCTCAGCTCTTCAGCTCAAGGCTAGTGCTCTACCGCTTGAGCCACAGTGCTACTTCCAGTTTTCTAGTGGTTTACTGGATAGAGATAAGAGTCTCATGGACTTTCCTGCCTGGCCTGGATTTGAACTGTGATCCTCAGATCTCAGCCTCCTCAGTAGCTAGGATTACAGGCGTGAGCCACCAGCGCCGGGCTTGGGCCTCATTTTTGCTATGCTATGTTCCCCAAGCCCAGCTTTTCTCCAAGGGCACTCCCAGAGATAGCTCACTGACCCATCTTGGCTTCCTCCAGCACTGAGCAAGGGCCTCGTATATATCAGGTGCTCAATGGATGCTTACAGCACTGCTAACCTTCAGACGTGGTAACAGGTAACAACCACTAGACAGCCCTTTGAGAATGCCGTTGAAGAACTATGTCTTGAGGGAATTCCAAAATGGAAGCTACCGGCATACTACGACTCCTCCCCTCCCTCCCCCTGATAAAATCTATAGATTGCATCGTGTTTCTTTCCTCTCCCTTCCATCCCAGTGTCGTGGCTGGCTTTGCGTTCTGTGTGTGGGCTTCTTAGTGAAATCAGATCCCAGGTTGTCCTGGGAGCTGGCTTTGATGTGAGGAGGAATTATTGAAAGAGACAGAGGCGATCTATATAATAAAATGCCTCCTACATTTTTTATACGTGTGATGGGTGGTGGGGGAGGGGAGGGGAAGAGGCTGGGCGGTGGGGAGGGACTTCGCTCTTGGGTTGCGAGTGCATGGGTCTGAGAGCTTTCGGCTTTTTTGTCCCAGGCCTCAAGGACTCTCAGCCCTTCTTCGGGAAATCCTTTCTCGGGGAACAAGCAGTCTTGTTAGTTTTTTACTGATGCTTGAGAAATTTCCTTGGGGCCTCACAATACTTTCTCTTGATAATATGTCTCAGATGGATTTAAGATCACTGCTGTTACATGAGGGTTTAACTTTGATTTGACTTGCGGGGGAAGAAAAAACATTCTCTCCCTGTTCTCCCCGCCCCCCCCCCCCCCCTTTCTCTCCTCTTTCTCTTTCCAGTAGAAGTTCCAGTCTGGCACCGGGGAAGGTTTCTTCTTTGAAATATTTTTCTTCTGAGCCAGACATGGTGCTGGGAATTTAATGGGAAACAAGAAGGGAGATCTTTGCCCCACAGATTTGGGGACTAATTCCTCAAACAGAAGGGGACCTCACAGCACAATAAAATGCTATGCTCTAGAGGCTGAGCGAGGGCTTCCTGGAGGAGGTAATGTTTTAGTAGGGACCTGAAGGATGAGTAGGAGTTTGCTAGACAAAGAGGGGAAGGGAAGGGTCTCACAGGCAGAGGGAACAGAACTCATGCACGCACATACATACGCATGTGCACAGGTTAGCCCTCCTCAAAGGAGGAAAGGAGCTTAGCACAGCCATTTCCAGCCCTCGGCTGTGGCGTGACTTAGATAGCCTTGCTCTTTGGCTCTCTGAAGGATCAAAGCACAGGACCCCCCTCTACCCCCCTGCGGGGAGGGGAGAGGAAAAAGCTGTATGACTCACGGAGGAAATATTCTGCTGTGTCGGCTTCGTAGTCCGCATCCTCTGGGAAGTGATCGATTTGCTTGCACAGACCTTTGAAGTTTCCTGCAAGACAAGGGAGAAGGAGTGCATGAGCCATGGGTACTTTGCCAGGGGGCTTGGGGTCCACCTGCCTCTTCCCGACCTCTCACTTTTCAGCAGCTCGCTCCAGCCCCTCCCTGGCCCTGGGAGAAACGTATTGCTTTGTCTGTTGGCACTTCTGCGGGGTGGATCAAAACACACTGGCCCGAAGCCCTGCAGAGAGGATCTGGAGCTCAGACTTCAAAACCCGGCCTCTTGTCCCTGCAGCTCTGCTTCTAAGGATTAGCTGGGGTTTGACTCAGGGCAGGGCGGGTCCTGTGCTTGGGGGATGGTGGATGTTGGGGGGGGGGGAGGAGGAGAGGGGGAAGATGGAGGGAAGAAACTGAGGCTCAGTGGGGCAGATGAACAGAGTAAGGGCTTGTGACTAGGAAATAGAACATTTCCTCCGTGTTTGCTGAGCACATACTGTAAGCACAAGGCCCCGGCCTGCCCTCACCAATGTTCACTGAGTTTAGGAACAAGCTACGAAGGCCACCTTCACAGAAAGTGTTGAATGGAGTCCATTTATAGTTGCCAGGGTTGGTTTTAATAGCCAAGGGGAAGGCAGAGCTAATGTTAACTTTCTTTGAGTGGGAAAATAATTGAGCCTGTGCTGATATTCTGCATCAGAGCAGGTTTCTGTGGTCAGACCGTCTGGTCCAGCTTGGCTTCCTGGAGCTGACTCAGTTTCCCCATCTGAACAGAGGCTGGTGCATTTAGTCCTTGGAGACCAATAGGAGATACGAATGAACTTGACTCTGTCCAGTCACTGATGTTTGGGGCTTTTTGTGACTAGTGTTTATTGAAGACAGTTCCTCAATATCTCTTAGTCGTTAATTTTCTTATAGAGTCCTGAGACTCCACGCCTTGTCAAATACTGTGCACTATATAACGTTAATCCCTAATTTAAAAGTCCAAAATCCCAAGTGTTTTTCATCTTATTTGTGCTAGTAGTGGAGCTTGAATTCAGGACCTCATGCTCTCCCTTAGCTTTTTCCTCTCAATGCTGGTGCTCTGCCACTTGAGCCACAGTTCTACATCTGTCTTTTTGGTGGTTAATTGGAGAGGAGAGTCTCTTGGATTTGTCTGCCCAGGTTAACTTCAAACTGAGATCCTCAGATTGGTGCCTGGCTCAAAAATGTCTTGAGTGCTAGCGTGCATTGTTGATGTGGGGATTTTCACACCTGACCTCAGGTGAAGGGTCTCGGTCAGAATGTTGGCACGCTGAAAATATTGTAGGAAATTACCTTCAGACTGGATGTTTAAGGTGTGAATGACACAGAGATAGACTTCCTGTTTAGACCTGGGCCCTGTCTCCAGGCTGTATCATTATAGATAGATGCAAATATCCCAAAATCATCCGAGGCCTAAGTATTTTGCATGAGGGCTGTTCAACCTGCCTTACGAATAGTTTAAGATAGTGTATGTGCTCTGTAGGCACATAGCATTTAGAGCTTTCTAGTATTATTCTGTGCTATACATTTCACAGCCTCTGGCTCTTGTTCACGCCTGGATCTTCTCTGTCCCAAACTTACCAACTTTCCTGATTTCTCTCAGAAAGAAAACTCCCCATAGGCCATTGGGATTTTTGGCCACTACGGAAGCTTGGTAGGGTCAAAATAGGAACCCCAAGTGCTTTGGGCTTTGCCCTCTTCTTGCTCACCCTGCCTGCCTTCTTGTCTCCCCTCTGTCTTCCTGCATGTCGGGGTGTCAATAGGAGGCCTGGTTTGCCCCCAAGACCTTATTCCAACCACACACCTGCTCAGCCTTCTCTGTGGGAAAAGTCTTTATGGGGCCATGAAGGAAGATTGTTACAATTTCACATCAGTGCAGCTGAAAAGCGCTGACAATTCAATCTGACAAACATTAAGCCAGCACCAATTGGTGGCTGGCGACTATGACGTTGGTGACACTGGAAGTGACCCCCTGAGGATGCAATACTGGCCTTTCCGAGGTGCCTTACAAATTGGGGACAGAGCTGGACCCAGCAGCGAGGGCTCAAGGGTAGTTCTTTTCTCTCACCCGAGGACCCATCGCTCCTACCTGGGCTCCACCACCCCTATTCCCTACAGCCTGGCTCTCCACAATCCCCTGTCTCACTCCTGAGTGGGCAAGTGGCTCCCGGCACAGGGTGTGTATGGAGAGGCTGCGCCGAGCGTGGACAGCGGGCCCACTTCCGGTCCCACTCCCAGTCCCATGCCTGCTGATGGGTCTTACACAGGACCATACGCTCAGCAGGGCTGAGGCCCCACGAGAGGGCAGCGAGCACCTCTCCTCTCCAAGGCTCCCTTGGATCAGAGAGAGAGTCTAGCCACGAGAGCCCCTGTCACCATCCAGGCCTCTCCTCTTCCTCACTGCCATCCCCGTGTCCTACCCGTGAGAGCACCCCAGTACCTGCCCCTGTCTCTCCACAGACAGCACCCCCAACCCCTGGACGATACCCTAGCCCCTTACTTCTGCATTTATTACCCACTCTTTCCCCTCCTACAGAATAATCACCAGGAGCCTTCAGAAATACAAATCTGAGCATACACCTCCAGCTTCTCACACACACACACACACACACTTCCTTGGTGCTGGGTATCATTATCAGGGCTGGTAGACCTACCTTCTATCTCTGCCTCACCTCCCACCCATTTCCTTCTTTCTGAACTTTGGCCTTCCCTCATCCCACAGGACTCTTGCACTTGCTGGTCTTGCTGCCCAGGCTCTATCACCTGCTTTATTAGTTTCCTTCTTCCACCCTTCTTCTCGGTGTTAGTGGGCATGTCTAACCACCGCTGGCTGCTGTGTGTGTGTGTGTGTGTGTGTGTGTGTGTAGGGGTAGATGTTTAGGTGTGTGTGGTGCTCACGGGAACATGGGAGGGCAGATGGATGACTAAGGAAGGAGGAGGGAGGTAAGAGGATGAGGTCCAGGACACAGGGGTGCTAGGGGTGACGTACCCCAGGAGGTCAGGTGACATGGTACCAGCGGCCTGTGATGCCTTTTTCCTGATGCAGTAGGAAGCAGTAGGATGGGCTGGTGACTGGAGGAAGGGAAGGGACACTTCCCCTGTGAGGGTAGGCGGGGCAGTGGACCAGGCACCCAAGGGAAGGTGACATAGTCTATGTGTGTCCGTGGCTTGAAGGTCCCTTCGAGAGTGTGTGGTTTTTTCCAGCCCCATCCAGAGTGCAGGAGTGGCTTGGTTGGGGGCTCCCTTGATCAGGAGGGGGCTCACGTGAGGTGAGTATAAAATGGTGAGGTGAGTGTGTAGGATCTTGGGGCTGGTGAGCTGCTGGGCTTTAGAAGCCTTGGGGGTGGGGGTGGGGTCAAGTGGGAGGCTGAGGGGAGTGAGCTGTCAGGGTGAGCCATGCTGGTCAGGGAGGGAGGTTTGAAAGACAGATTGTGGAGTGGTACAGTCACTGGTAATGCCAAGGTCAAGGGTAAGACCAGAAGCATGGCTGTCTCTGGATGGTACTCAAAGAATCTGGCAACCGGAAAGGTCGCAGGAATTAGCAAACAAGACGAGGCGAAAGCGTTCCCTATTATTTTTCCTGTGTATGTCAAGGATATATATTCAGAAACTGCCTACCCAGTTAAAAATTGAAGTGCAAACGATTCATCAAATTATTCTAATAGGGCGCAAATCATTGGTTGGTTTTGTAGAAATTATTGGTGTGATCTTTTGCTGATGAGGCTGTCACAGGCTAAATGATGGCCCTGTCTGGTGGCGATCTGACATCGGGAGCCGCACCAGATGCGTCCCCAGCTTTCCTGGAGGAGGAGGAACCGCTGGGGCTGAGGACACACCATTTCCTAATTTGTTCTGGAGGACCTGCTGTGAAAGCCGGCCCAGGCCCCAGGAGGCATGCCCAGCACACAAGATGGTGTGTGTGTGTGTGTGTGAGAGAGAGAGTTGGGAAGGAGAACGGGGAGGGGGGGAATGAAGGAACTGGAAGGAACTGGGCTGAGGCTGGATGAGTTTCAGAGGCAGGAAGTTGGGAGGAGGCAGAGTTATAAGGATGGCCTTGGAGCAGTCAGGGGCTACAGTGAGGAGCAGGGAGGCTGGGCATGGGCAAAGTGCACCCCATATGAGAGACTGCAGTGGCGGTGGTACCCCTGGGAGCCCAGGTGCCATACGGGCAAGAAGAGAGGAAGTTGAGACTCAGGAGATTCCCCTGGCATTGACATATAAATTACAGGGGGCTCAGAGAATGGATCGGGGTGTTGGAGACTGGGCTAGCTTGGGGGTGTGTGTGTGATGAGGCTGTGAAGGTTGGCTGGTAGAGAAACTGCCTACCCAGTTAAAAATTGAAATGCAAATGGGCTGGGAGCCTGCAAGCTGGGCAGTGGATTCAGACTGAATAATGAGGCTGTCCAGGCTCACGAAAGTGGCTCACGCACTGATGGTGAAATTTAAATTCCATAGCACACTCATATGGGCAGACATCACTATAGTCTGTGAAGAGTAGTGTGATGTTTTCCCAATGCCAGTCTAGAGCTCTGCTCTGTCTCTTTCTGGTTGATGGTAATCAAGGCCACAATTGGGATGGCTTCAGGCAAAGATGGATCCAGGCGCTCAAAACTCTGGCATCTCCTTCCATTTCTGGCTTTGCTCTCAGTTGTCCTCAATACTTAAGCAGCCATGGTAGAGAAGACTGCCTAAGTGCCAGGCACTGGGTGATAGGTCTCACCTGAACCTCTGCCCTTCATGGGCTCATAGTCTAGAGGGGAGAAAACAGAAAGTAAAGGATGGACTAGAATGAGTGTCTCCCATTCTGTTTTAGAGGGACATATGAGGTCTTATGGGAACACAGCACAGCACAGCTTTTCAGATAAGTAACATTAATGTAGCATCAACTGTATGCCATGCTGTGTATGTGTGTGTGTGTGTGTGTGTGTGTGTGTGTGTGTTCATGCAGGTGTGTGTTTGTGAGAGGTAGTGCACTGGTGGGGGGTGTGAAGGGATTTCTAGGGAGAGGGACCAGTGAGAGGAGAGCCAGGA